TTCACATTCCAGTTCAGGATTTTTTGATATATATCAATCTATTATGATTTAAAAAGTCCGATAATGCGATTTTTAGAACAAGTTTTTCTTTAATTGGCGCAATGATTGGATGAGGATGCTCTTTTCAATTAATTGTTTGTAATCATTCCCATTGCAAAAAGCAATACGACCGATGAAAATCATATGTTCCAATTTATCAGCTGTTAAATTTTCATATTACAGTAAATGATTGCTCCTGTTATAATTCCTATGCTCACTGAATAAGATTTTAATCATAATTACAATTAAATTGCTTCTAGAACACACTTTAAAGTGTGAATTTCTAGAATTCAATGATTGTTGATACTTTGGTAAAAGTGCGTGGCCACACTGTTATTAATTTTTAGTTAGTTCACACGGTAATTCAATTAATCTGTTGTTCATCTCATCAATATAATTCCGTGCTTAGAATATTGCCATCTCGTGTTTTCAGCACCAAATTAAAAATTAAAACTTCATTTGGAATATTGAGTCACAGCTTCTTTTTATTCATATTAGAAATTTTGTATTTGGATATTAATATTATTTATTCAAAGTGCAAAAATCGATCATCATTTTCACTATATTGCATTCAGATTTTCCTATCCTTAAGGTAACAATTGTGAGATAATCTCATAATTATAGCTACTAATTCTAATCAACTTTGTTCGAAGAAAACCTTAGCAAGCGCAATATTAAGAAAGTAGAATTATTCTATTTTCCTTTGACCTAAATGATTTGGACGATTATGATTCGTTTATTCATATTTCCTAGAATGATATTCAATTCTCTTTTGTTTGTTAGGCCGACTTCATGAAAATTCGACACAAGACGATTGCCCATGCTCTTATTTAGAAAGGAAATCCAACACGAGTGATTAAAAAAATGTAATACTACGGTTTTTTTTATTAAAAAAATGCGAATTTCCATAAAGAGTTTTTCAATGAATTATTTTTATATAAAATTATTGATTTCTTTTTCTCAATTTCAACATTTTGTATATGAAATCACAGATGAAATTTTCTCACTCCAGAATTGTGATTTTTTTCTTAATACGTAGCCGATGGAGAAGTCAAACTTCTCCACGTATTTTCGGGGTAATCGAAAAGTCTGCACGAGACAGGTGTATTTGAGAGAAGCCAAGGCATTGTACACTGAAAAATCGACAGGTGATGACGTGGAGTAGATTCCAGGGATGATTGTCCTTACATATTGCAATTGGTGAAATACACCTCGAAAATGAAAATTGCAATATATAGAGAGGGAGAGGAAGTTGGGGAATAGACGTGACGAGTTGGATGATGGAGTTGGGAGGGAGATGTGTCGAGATATGTATCGAATGTAGTTTCAGAGTTCAATGTCCTCTCCAGAGATGAAAACTTGAGGAATTTGAAAAATTGCCTTTTTATTTTTCTCGAGTGAATGATTTTTTTCAGCGGAACTAACTCCATTCCGAAAGGAAAATTGGATGTGGTTTTTATCGTCAATAAGTCGATGACGTCTTCGAAAAATTGGAAAACTTTTTATTTTACAGATTTATTTTTGGGAGGCATATCACACTGAACTCCTTATTCTCTTGTCGACAATCGTCTTTTTCGAATTTACAGTAAAAAATTAAAGACAAACTAAATAAACCTCTTCGGACTTCAATCGTTCGAATAGAAGTACAGAAACATCTGAATGCTAATTTTTAACGAGACACAGCCAATGCAACAGCATCAGAAGCATCTGATCCTTATCATCTTGTCTTCCATTTTCTTCATTCACCTTGTAATATCGTTGGAGACGAATGAAATGAGCCCATTCAAACTTCAATGGATTGAAAAGAACTGGAAAAGTTCAATTTCATCTCGTACCGTCTCGTACCATCTCGTCTCGTCTCGTCTCGTCTCGTCTCGTTTGTCTCATCTCGTCTCGTTTCTCTCGCGTTTCGCGGCATCACTATTCCCAACTAAGGAGATCCAAGTATCTTTTACAGTTTAGTGCAGACCACAGTACCGATTCAACCATTTTCAATCATCAAATTTGTCAACTAAATGGTGTGAGAAAAATTTGAAAAAAAATCACTACTATTCAGCATCATTAAAATTACATTTTGCACAGAATGATGACTTTTAAATTCGTTGTTCATAAATAAATAATCCAAATTGTCCGAATGGAAGCATTGGAATCAATTCAAAATCAAATCTGCAAAATTTAAACAATAAAATCATCGTAAAATGTCCGGAAACTTAGGGTCGAATGGGGCTCAAATGAAAGCTCGGATGTTCGACAACAAAAATGGAGGAACATTTCACTGGAGAAAAAACAGCCAAAGTACCTTGATATCCTTGAACGAATCTCCAACAGTGGAAAAAAATTTCCGCCGACACCAACATCAGAATCAAAGATATTCTTTTTCAATGACATCACGGCAATTGCGAAAACACAATGAAGACCTTTAAACGCAACTTTTATTTCCCACCTGATAATCACCGCTCGTCGCAACACGTCTCCCTGGAAAAATTCAATTCATCCAAATGGCTGGGATAGACTTCACTGTAAAATGATTGACGCTAATATCATTCCTTGCATAATATTCAATTGTCGATGATATTTTTATTTCCATTGTAAATTTATTGGCTGTTGGGTCATTATGTTCTACGCGATAGCATCGCGATCTTCAAGTTTTCGAGATTATTCCGATAGTTTATCATCTATGGAAACGTTGAGGCGAGATATCCCCAGCCAATTTCGAATTTAATCCACTGGAAACTTGTGAATGTACCGGTGGAGTTGGTTGGCAGGAGGGTGAGGTCAGAGGCGTTATTAAAAAAGAGAGGAAGAAGAAGAGTAGCAAGATGATATTAAAATATCTCACCACTCCAACAGTTTGAGAGAACATCCCCTACTTTATTAGTATGAAACGGTGGATATATTTCATCGCGTCGTTTTTTTTTCAGTTGAACGGGAAGTTTAACAGCTGACGATGGAAAATGGAGCAATGGATTTTGGGAATTTTTATAGTTCCCAAAAACTATATAAACTAATAAATATTAGTTTGGGAGTCTGTAGGGAAGTAGTGGAAAATTTAACAGCTGATAAATTGGGACATATCATTCTCATTGGTCGTGTTGCTTTTTGCAATGACAACGATTGTAAAGATTCAACTCAAAAGAAGGATATCGACTTTGACAGGAAAAAGGACTTAATGTAAGGCCATCAACGCGGGTGGCGCTAGTAGACAGGAAAACAATAAATATTAGTATTTCTTTTTTGTGGAAACACTCAGACTCAAAAAAATTATTAGAAATTTTTTTTTATTAGAAAGCTAAAATGTTTTTGAAATATTCTCAAAACAATAAAGACCAAATAGACAGAAAAATAAATTTCCTAGAAAATTTCCAAAAAAATTTTAAAAATCTTCGAATTTAGCTCACTTCATCCCTTTCCGCTATGACAATTCTATCTTTTTCAACAATTTCTGCAAGTCCATAAACAGTTTCCACTTGAAATTTATTCATGTTACTTCCACCTCAAGACTGCTCCACTTTGCACACTGGGTAAGGGATCGATATTCTGACCCATTGTGGTCTTTTTCTACTACAACGGAGGAGAACTCACTCGATTACAGCGACAAATGGTAGGCACTCATTTGCATCGGAGTTGAATAAAAGAGATAAAGGAAGTAGGCTGACAATTTTGAATGCCAAACGCGCTTCTCGGGTTTTTTCAACGTCACTGTAAAAAGTTTTGGGGAGGGTGGAGAATACATGGGAAGGGAAGGTGAAGAATCTTGAGTGACTTTTTTGCGGTTATTTTTGCTAATGACTTGACTTTCGGAATTTTATTGGGAAAAAAATTGAGTTTTTTTTCTGGGAAAAAAGCGCTATTCAAGATTAATTTAATTGGTCTGTTCAAAGAATATCTAAGAATTATCCTGTTACATTATCGGTAGCAAAATTCTTGGTTCTCAACTATAAGATCCTGCAGTGTTCTTCTTTTAAAGTAGCTCTACCCTTACGGTAAATTCAAAGATTATTGAAAACTGCAAAAAATTGCAGAAAACTCGATTAGATTCAGGATTCTAATTTTTTTTCTCAATTTAATTGTCGTTCTGGTTTTTCAAGAAGAAATGTTTAAAAATCAGGATTTGACTCAGTGTCTTATGTGAAAATCAACATTTCCATTGTAATCGAAGATTAAAATCTGAATTTTTTTAATTAGATGCGAAAAAATAAAGAATTTTTTTGACACCTCATAAAAAATCCACCGTTTTGCAAACAAGTTTTATTATTTATTAATAAGAGGAAAATGTTCGAAAAAATATCAATATTTTGCGAAATTTAATTTAGATAATACTGACTGGGTATAAATTTTTTCAAATTTTTTCCATGCAACTTAGTTGAAAAATTTAAAAACTGAAAATATCCAAAAGTACAGCGTAGCCCGGCCGAAGGGTAGAACTACTTTAAACATCAAAATGAATTGAATCCATTAAATATCGTATTGTTCATTTCAAAGCACCAATAAACCAAATTTTAGAATAATCTGAGTGAAATTATTTGTAACCCAGGAGCATCTATTAAAACGGTGCAACAGTAGTCACGTGGCGAGTTCTCTCTTATATGTTCTCTATATCTCGCTTTGTGTTATATAACACTAGATTGCTAGATGCTACAGGACTATAAATAACCCTATATTGATTAATAGTCGAGATTCCATTTGATTATTACCAAACAACAATTCAAATTCATCATGACAATTGACGTATTGATCGTGCTGATTGGAAAAACATTCTTTTCTCATTAAGCTATAGATATTTTCTGACATTTTACGGACTGGGGACATATATTTCCTCCAAAGTGTCAAGATCTTAGCTTCATTTCCATTGAAAATGCTTTCGTGAACATATTTTTGTAAGAAAAGTTGCGCAATTTTGTGGTTTGTAATGGTATTTTTTCCGGCAGAAGGTGATGAGGAAAGAGCGGACTCTTTCATATGGCTCCTTAGCTCAGTTGGTTAGAGCGTCGTGCTAATAACGCGAAGGTCGTGGGTTCGATCCCCCCAGGAGCCAATTTTTTTTTCTTTTTTAAATTGAATTTTAAATGAAAATAATCGATATCGACAATTAAATCATAACATTCGCTGAATCACGGGCAAGTTCTGCCTACGAAGGCGATGATGGACTTCCCGTAACACGAGCAAAAATGATATATTGCGGCTGTTTTAAGGCGGTTTTCATGAGCACAATCGTCGTGCGTCGAATTTTCATGAAGCCCACCTAGCAAACAAAAGAGAATTGAATACTAGTCTATGAAACATGAATAAACGAATCATAATTGTCCAAATCATTCAAGTCAGAGGAAAATAGAATAATTCAACTTTCTTAATATTGCGTTTACTAAGGTTTTCTTCGAACAAAGTTGATTAGAATTAATAGCTAGAATTATGAGATTATCTCACATTTTTTATGTTAAGGATAGGAGAATCTGAATGCAATATAGTGAAAATGATGATCGATTTTTTCACTTTGAACAAATAATATTAATATCCAAATACAAAATTTCTGATATGAATAAAAAGAAGCTGTGACTCAATATTCCAAATGAAGTTTTAATTTTTAATTTGGTGCTGAAAACACGAGATGACAATATTCTAAGCACGGAATTATATTGATGAAATGAACAACAGATTAATTGAATTACCGTGTGAACTAACTAAAAATTGATAAGTGTGGCCACGCACTTTTACCAGAGTATCAACAAACATTGAATTCCGGAAATTCGCACTCTAAGTGTGTTCTAGAAGGAATTGAATTGTAATTATGATTAAAATCTTATTCAGTTAGCATAGGAATTAGAATACGAACAAATCAGTTATAGTAATATGAAAATTTAACAGCTGATTAATTGGGACATACGATTCTCATCGGTCGTATTGGTTTTGGCAATGAGAATGATGATAAACAATTCATTGAAAAAAGGAAGGAGATGGCATTAACAGAAAAAATCCAAAACTTAAATTTGAATGATTACAAAGATTCCATTCGGATGCGAAAACACTAATTTTGGACGGAAAATAATTTGAGACAACAAAGCAGGTGAACGTATGCCTAAAATTTATAAAATCCTCTCTCTCTCTCTCTTGCGCTAGAAGCCAGGTCAAACGTTCAATCGCTGCAATATCCCCCAATTGATTCCACAAAATTTCCAATGAATAAGAAAACCAATCCCGCGATAGTCCCCCTGAAAATTCATCCTCTTCCGTTCAATCCATCTTCATTCCCGTTGACCAAATAATTTGATGCAGCGAAAGCGGAGAAATTTCACCTGGAAATTCACAATTGTGCAAACGAGGAAAACGACCGGGAGGATTCTCCCCACTGAAAATGGACGCTGCGGAGGAATCCTTCGATGAAAGATTTATGAAGCTGCCGGAGAAGAAGGGGGAGGTTATATAGACCAAAGTGGAGTGTGCCCACAAGCGCACCCTCCATTTTCAAGAATTCATTAATATTCCCAACAGTCCCAGTTTTTTTCCCCTCCTAGCCGGGTTTCTGTTGCTCCATCTTCTTTCCATTTCATCATCGGATTTATTTACTCGAAACTTTAGAATGGTCCTTCATCTTCAGCATGTCTGCTCAATCGTAAATCCTCCGTAATTGTTGCTTGGATGATGGACACCGCGGACAATTCTATGTCAAACTGCATTCCGGGTTTCAAAAGAATTTTTTTCAATTATGTCGTAAACAAATGGACAGAAGAATTATTGAACACCCCCGAGAATTCTCACTTTATTGCCTCAGAATTCTTGATTTTAGTAATGCTGCAAACCATAAATTTCTGTCTGTATAACTTTAAAAACACATGGACAATTGCATTCTTTTCATAAATGAGTAGTTATTGTTGCTAATAAATTAGCAATTTGCTTCCGAATGGGTTCTCTTTTTTGTCAATTCTTATTTTACTGTTCTCTCGTTCTATTTGTTCATGTCATAGTATTATCATCAATTGAAATGTCATCAAAATTTTGCGTAGTATTTCGTTCTGTCAAATAATTCTACATTTAGACCCTCTCAAGACTCGAAATCGTTTTCAGTCCGGGTTTAATCAAGGTTCAATCAAGGTTTAATCAGTGTATAGCCGGGATTTAATCAGGGTTTATTCAGGATTTAGTCAGAGTTTAACCCAGCTTCTGTCAGAAGTTAGTCGGGACCATGAATCAATATGAATAAGTATTTTTTGAAGCTCAGTGCGTAAGGCGCTGTTTCACGAATGCTTCGCTTCGCTCAGCGTTCGTGAGCTTCGCTTCGCTCAGCGTTCGTGAAACACCGCCCACGCACTTCGTGTCAAAAAATATTATTCGATACACGGAAGTGAAGAACTTTTTCATTACTGTAACCTGATATTCGCCAGAAAAGTTCTCCACGCCCTAGTATCGAAATGTACTACAACATAATAGACTGCTACCTGAGTTTAATAGAAATAGAAATTTTGATATAAAAAGCTCATGACGGTATTGTGTAACTTGATAAGCAATGATGATTAAGAAAGAAGCCATTGAAATATATTTTTCAAGCCCTGATTTAATTGCTATTACTGATGATTCTTCCAGTAATCATGAAAAAACCGATTTTCTTTTTCAAATCGCATAAACAATGTACTGTAACTCAACAACGAATTGTAAGACCCCCATCATATTCTGATAGAATCAAGAGGGTATTGTTATCAATTTTTTGGAGCCATAACTAATTAAATTTTGATGACAATTTTTTGAGTGATCGTTGAAAAATCGATTTTTCGAAAAATATCAATTTGTTCCAATCGGTATGGAAAATTGAACTTTAATTAGTGTCAATGAATAGCAATGAATAGATGAATTATTTATTCATAAACAACGAATGTTTACTTTAAAGTAGCTCTATGCTTACGGTAAATTCAAAGATTATTGAAAACGGCAAAAAAATGGAGAAAACTCGATTAAATTTGGGATTCTAATTTTTTTCTCAATTTAATTATCGTTTTGGTTTTTCAAAGAAGAAATGCTTACACTCTAAAAAAAGATTACTTCTGATAAGTAGGAAAACTACTTGTATTCAGTACCGAGGCGTTTCTGGAGAAAAGCTAATTTTTTTACTTGGTCCAAGTCGAAAATCGACTGAATACAAGTTTTATGCTCCAAGTACAATTAGCACTGGTGATAAGTACCAACTGTACTCATCATCAGTACTGAAAGTACTTGTACTGAGTACCGAGCTGTACTTCTCAAAAGTAGAAAAAATACTTGAGACAAGTAGTAATAGTACTCAAATCCAGTACCAATGGATTTTCGCGGAATATTACAGTAAGATTCATCATACAATGGAGATCGTTGAAAAACGAAGAATTAATGCAAATAAAATTATTGTTTATTGTTCGTTTGCCCCTCAAATGCTTGAAAATTGAAATGTACTGGACTACAGTCCAGTGTAATAAATTCTCGAGCTACAGAGATTTTTTTTTCAAAATTTNGAAGAAAATGGAAATAAAATATTCTCCGATTTTTCAATTACGTTTTGTATTATATTTTTTTATAATTATAACTTTTTTTTTTTTGCGAATTCTTAATGATTTTTAAAAATTGTATTTTGTAATTATTATAATTAACTTTTTTCAATTAAAAATACTTTACTTTAAGTTTTTTGAACTACATATTTAATGAATATAATTAATTTTTTCTTCAGAAGTTCCGCATAATTTTTAAATCACACTTTTTTATAATTATTTTTT